CTTGAGGACCTTGTTGCGGCTCTGTACTTTATTGACAATAGCGGTTGAGTGCGCAGAGAAGGAGAGCAGGCTGTCGAATGTTACTCCGAGTATTTTGGGGTTATTCACCGTCGGAATTGGTGTGTCATCGACGTGAATCCCCAGCGGTAGCCTGACCTCCTTCGTCCAGGTTGTGAACAGGGTCGCGGAGGATTTCGTAGGGGAGAGGGCTAGACACTTTGCAGTGAAGAAGCGAGAAAGTTCGGAGAGATACCCGTTTACTTTCGAACACAGGTCATCAATTCCATTCCCAGGCGCCATGATCGAGCAATCGTCGGCATAAGAGACAATCGAGACTCCCTCTGGTGGTTGAGGGAGCTTTGAAATGTAAAAGTTAAACAGTAGCGAGGAGAGGACACCACCCTGAGGAACCCCCTGTTTTATTTTTCGCTGTTTACTCGTTTTGTCTCTAAACATTACCGACGAATGTCGACCACTCAGATAATTTGCCGACCACCGTTTGAGCCTCTGTGGGTGAGAGGAGGCCTCTATATCTTCTAGTAGCGTGGAATGGTTGAGTGTCAAAAGCCTTTGACAGGTCCAACGCCACTAGAATCGTTCTCTCACAGGGACGGTACGATGCACTTTACGGAAACCATGCTGATGCTTCGCTGGGGTCAGGTGGTTTGTGAAGTACGGGAGTAGCAAGGCCTCGAGTGTCTTCGCTACCGGGGAAAGGAGTGTTATCGGACGATAAGAATCTCCTTTGTTGGCAGGTTTCCCCGGTTTGAGCAGTGGGACCACTCTCCCCACCTTCCAGATGTCTGGGATGATGAGAGTGGCCATTGACAAGTTGAGGACCTCCGTTAGGTAAGCTACCCCCGCAGGACCCAAATTTTTCAGCATCAGCATGCATATTCCGTCGGGACCCATGGCTTTGGAGGCTTTCGCCTTCCCGATGGCCACCTGAACTTCACCGCAAGTGAAAGCAAGGGGGGCACAGGTTGTTGGCAGTTTGTGCAGCCTTCTGGTCACTCGACGCTTGGCTTTGTCCACCGGAGGATGCAGTATGAACTGCCGGCTAAAATAGCTCGCGCATCGCTCCGGGTCCGACGAAGCATGGTCGCCGAAGGAAATTTCGACTCTGTCGTCGTGCTTCGTCGGATTAGACAGTGACCTCACGGTTGACCAAAGCTTGCTCACACCAGAGGTGAAATTACAGGTCTTCAGATGCTCCTCCCACTTCTTCCGCTTATGTACGTTTACTAGTTGCCGAATCTCCGCGTTGAGATCCCTGATACGGGGATCTCCGGGATTGGCCTGACGAAGGCTATCACGCTCATCGGCTAGAACAGCCGCTTCGGCAGGGAAGCTTGGACGTGGGTCCGATATACAACCAAGGGCTGTTGTTTCGGCGATCTAACCCCGTTTAGGTCGGCGAAGTATCTCAGTAGCTTATGTCGGAAGGCTGGCTTTAGTATAATGCGGCATTCCCTTTATTCTTTAAACGACAAGAAATTTTTTGGTGAGATTTAATAAGAATATTGTCTTGCTAGTATCGGAACTATTTCTTGCACGTTTATTTGCCAAAAGTTGTTCAACGGTTCTGCGCCAGTGAGTCATTCGCAATCGTATGCTGCGTGTGCCGATTTATACTAAAGCCAGCCTTTCGACATAAGCTACTTTTCCATACGAACACAGAACAAGTAATTTTTAGCAAAAAAAACCGATTTAAAAAATTTATATATATATCTATATATTTCATGATCCAATGATCGGATCTAAACCAAATTAGTATGGGACCACCTCTGAGACACTACCTTTGCAAAAAGAATTATTGAAATCGGTTGACGTGGTGCAAAGTTATGCGGTAACACACATAAAAAAAAAAAAAAAAAAAAAAAT